TACAATTTTCGTTATAAAAAAAAAAATTTAAATTTTTCTTAAAACGATTTCTTAACAAACAAACAAACAAACGAACAAACAAACAAATAAATAAATAAATAAATACAAATTACTAAATTTTTTTAAATTTAAAAAAAAATTTTTTTTTTTATCACACCGTTCCGTTTAATTTTATTTTTTTTTTTACTTTTCGGGTAATTTGATAAACCGTATCAAATAACTCGTTACGTAATATTTAATGACTGATAATGAAAATTTCTGTTTTTCTTTTTTCACGAAAATTTTTTTTAAAATCGATTTGAAAATAACAAAAATTTTCTCACCCACGCATATAAAAAAAAAAAAAAAATTTTTTTCACGGATTCGACCTCGCCTTTTTTTTTCTTTAATCTCCTCCTTCGCCCTTCCCTCCCCCTCTCCCTCCTCCTTCTTTCTTCCCCGACTCTTCTCCCCCTAGTGTCCCCCCTTCGTACTAACGATAATATTTCTTTTTACTACCCACTTAAATATTCCCAAAAAAAAAACCAAAAAAAAAATTCGATTCTCGACCGGACCTTAATAACATGATGGAAAAGAGAGAGATAGAAAAACCGACAAACAACAAACAACAACAACAACAACAACCGGCAAACAACCTACGCGGCGTAAAAAAAAAAAAAAAAAAAAAAAAAAAACGTTCTTCTATTAAAATAAATAAATAACTTTATAATTATCGTCGCCGTACAATTTTTGATTTTTTTTTAGTTAAAAATTATTAACAAACGAGGTGACACATTTCCCGAGGTAATTTCGTGTACAGCCACCACTTCCCTCCCTCCCCCCACTACCACCACCACCATCCCGCCGAAATATGCGAAATTACAGGGGGGCCAAATTTTCGATCATGTCGAAAACAATGACGAAAATCCACCGTGTATAGAGAAAACGACGAAATAATCGGAAATAATAATAATAATAATAATAATATTAATTATCATTATTATTATTATTATCACGCGTAAGGTTTCGAATTAACATAAAACATGGCTCTCGGGTAAAAATTATTAATTTAAAATAAAAAAAAAAAAAATTTAAAACGAAACACTGAAACCAGTTTAATAATTGATAAATTACGAGAGAGTCGGAATGGATGGAAAACCGGCAAACAACCGACAACAACAAACAACAAACAACCAACAACAACAATTTTTTTTTTAATAATAAACTACTTCGACCGAGAGAAAAAAATATATTAAATAAAAAAAAACTAATAAGAATTAATTAAATAAATAAATAAATAAATAAAAATACGCTTAAGCTCAAGGCTGACAATTTTTTCTCTCTCTCTCTCTCTCTCTCTTAAAAATCTCGTTTTCGACGCGAGAGAGAGAGAGAGAGAGAGAGAGAGAGAGAGAGAGAGATAGAAAAAATTTATCGTTAATAAAATATTCTAGAAAGGTCGGTAACTCACTCGGAATAACGCCGCGTTTTATTATTATTATTATTATTGTTATTTTCCTCTTTTTTTTATTAAAGGAAGGGGGGCAGGGCGTTTTATATCATTTTTGATTTTTCCGTTCGATCGGATTCGATCTCAAACGTCGTACAAATCGAACGAACCTTTTTTAAGGGGGGGGGGGGTATCGATTCATGAGGTGAGTGCGTAAATTATTTTGTAATAACGCACGCGTAAGATTTCGACAAACACGCCAAAAAAAAAAAAAAAAAAAAAAATTAAAAACCCGTACGAATAATATTAACAAATACATTATTATTATTATCATTATCAACTCCCAACCGGTCTCCCCGGGTGTGAGGTATCGTAATAAGTAATTATTATTATTATTATCATTTACCCTCATTTTTTCCTTTTACGCCCGGAAAACTTAATCGTTCGAAAAAAAAAAAAAAAACTTTGAATTTTCTTTCAACATAAACTTAACATCGAGGAAAAATAATAATACTGATGACGTCACTTCAGGTTTACTATTAGCTAAATTTTGAAATTATTTATTTTCTATCCTTTTCTCTCTTTTTTATTAATAACAAATTATTTTAATATATAAAAATTCGTACCGACAGCATTTATACAATCACAACAACCAACAAACGCGATACAAACAACGACCATAATTATCATCATCATCATCATCATTATTATTTATTTATTTTACCTTTGTACGAGTGAGAGAAGATGAGGCGGGGGGAAGGAGGGGAGGTGGGGACAAAAGACAACTCGTAAAAAAATTATTAATAATAATAATAATAAAACCATTTATACACACACACACACTCTCTCTCTCTCTCACTCACACATACTCACACAGTTTTTCCCTTTCGAATTTTTCCGTTTCGTTTCGTTCTCCCTTTCCCCCCTCCCTCCCCTCCCCCCCGACAACAAGGAGAAAAAAAAAAATTAATAAATCCTAATCCTTACCGTAATAAAACTATTTTAAAAAAATCTCTCCCTTTCTCTCTCTCTCTCTCTCTTGCGTGTATTTTTTTTCCTCCCAAAGTGCGTACGTGTATATATATATATATATATATGTATTTTTTTTTTATATTTACGCACGCATAAACGCACGCACGTATTACAATAATAATAATAACAATAATTATAACTCTCGTCGTATGCGTCGTATTAAACAGCGTATTATTATTATTTTTTTTTATTTTTCAAAATGGCGACCGACTCACACGCGTTTACGTGTGTGCGTGTGCGTATTAAAAACCACGGTAATAATACGTATTTTAAGTACGTACGTACGTATTTCACGCACGCATAAATAAACCAATTTTATTTAAATAATAATAATAATAATAATAATAATAATAATAAACTCGCGTTTCACTTTATTTTCCTTATTTATTTATTTTTATGAGATCACTTATTATTACATTAATAGTTTTTTTTCATTTTATTTTTTATTTATTTAACGCGCGTTTTTTTCTCTATTTAAAAACCGAATAAAAAATAAAAAAAATAAAAAACATGAAAACACAAACGCGCGTACAACAATTTTTTTTTTTATTTAAATTTTAACTATTACTATTATTATTATTATTATTTTATTATACCAAACGAAATTCGTTCGCCCTTATTTATTCTTCGTTTAACATTACCGAACTAAACTCTATGACCAGGTAAGACAGGTAAAAGCAAAGTT